TAGTGTTTTACACAACTATCTGAGAACAGTTGTTCAATTTCTACAGCTGCTGATTGGAGCAGAGTTGCTAACCAACTCTCAAAAAACTAATTTCTAAAGTCTGAGGCACTTTTCTATAGTATTCAATCACTCAAAAGATGTACACCACAAAAAGATGCTAGACTTGGAAATAATTTGGTGTTTCTTAGGAGTGTAAACAAAGTTTACAATCACCTAGATTATAATTTAATATTTGGCTGCACCATAATCATTATGTAATCATTACTAGTCATGATTTACTAAAATTAGCTAGTTTGACATTTCTTCCATAAATAAAACATTCAGTGCACTTTTCAGGGGAGCAACACTTTTGTTGAAGATAGAAATATTTTATACTTCAATATGTCTAGGTTTTGAATATATAATTTGCCTATGTATAAGAAATCTGGAAAAATACAAATAATACAGCATATTTCTTATTTAAAGTCAGGGTTATTGCCTGTTTTAATAAACAAAATAAAACATCATGCCTCTGGCTTGTATTTCATGTATTTTTAGTAAGCAAGCATTTAAAACTTTCACACTGATTTTTTTTTTTTTTTTTTTTTTTTACTTTGGATAGAATTGCATATCCAATTTTTTTTAAAAAGAATGTTTAAAAAAAAATTTTAACAAAAGAATATTTGCTGTGAGCATTTTTGAAAACACAGTGAGGACTGTGAGAGATGTTCAAAGATAAAATACATTAAAAATGCAAATATAAAGATGAAGAATGTTTACACTATCCCTAATTACTTTCTCCAGCAACATGTGACAGTTTGGCATTTGAGATAGACTGTGTTTCCAAAATCCAGTGAACTGTAAACCAAATAGACATCTCAAGTTTATACATATATAGAGACTTCTGTTGATTTAAACATATTTTCAGTGTCGGTTTAATTAGTTATTCCTGCTACAGCATATACATGAAATCTGCAATCACAATGTAAGCCTAAGGCAGGCCTATACAGAATGGTCACTCAAGGGCAGAGATAGGAGTGCTGAGTGTATTTTTTAAGATGCCAATGGATTGGACAACTTGGTTCTAACAATAATTGCTTTAAAGACCCTTTAGCAAATATCAGCAGAATTGGTTTGTAATTTACCATGTCTTTCACTTTGAACATGGTCCCTAAAGGTTTTTGCACATGTCAGGATATCTACAAACACAATTTGTTTCGGGTTGACTATCCATGATTAACGTTTTCCTCTACTGTCTAAAACCTGAATAATTACTTTTTACTGAACTACACACCTTCGTTTTCCTATCATCCACTGAAGATTAAAATCAAATGTCTTCTGCATGTTGCTTTCTTGTTTTGCTCTCTAAATGAAACACCTTTCAAGACCATTTACATAAGCTATGAAAACAGAAGGTTGCAAATATAGATCTTAGGAACTGCAGAAGTCAGTTAATTAAGATGTATTGCAAAGATTCCTTATTATGAAAGTCATAGTTTTAACTCTATAATCTTACTTATCAAACTAGACTTAGAATAATCAAGGAATGTTTCTCCTAACTACATCTAAGTGGTTCTAAGTGATTTCAAACTTTTTTTTACATTTGTTTAATTATAAACAGAGCAAACAATTAAGGCAGATTTGTTTAATGTGGTTTTCTTAGTATTTCTTAAATATGAGAAAAAAAAATGTATAGTCAACTACATGATAGAAAAGGCAAACCAAGGCCAATTTATTTCATCTCTATCTTCATGTTCCACAATATGCACACGTAAGAGGAGGATAAAATAATTAATATAACTGTCTATATTTTTTGGTCTCTAATATTTTTTCCATACTCATGTAAGTATGACCTCAAGAGCAATGTTATTAGTCTGACTTCTTTTCCCTATTTGTGGCCCTGGAAAGATTCCAGCATCTTCGGACAGGTGGCTGATTCTTTAACTTGTTTCAGCTATTTGCAGATACCCATTAATTTTTCCAAATTTTAGATGAACTCTTTAGCTCCTTCCCCAAATCCTGCTGTACTTCTATGACACGCTATCTTATATATGATCAGCCTCTAATTCCTCCATTATCCAACTTTTGCTTGGTTCCTTCTACTCAGAATTATTTCCCTTATTCCAGCCTCATTTTATTTAATCACTTTCTATTCATCCCTCAGAACAGAACTTAATTTAAACGTTACTTCCTCAGTAAGATGGCTCCCCCCAACTTATCCTCCAGATGTGGAGAATATATGCTTTCAGAGCACCCTAGGCTTCTCCTTAGCAGTACCTACTAGAGTACTAACTACATATTTGTGAAATTACCAGCTTATTAACTGCCTCCCACCAGACTTTAAAGTACGTAAGGGCTCACTATCATACACAAGGAATACACTAAAAATATGTTAAATAAATTGAAAGTTTATGAATAACACTTATCACTTTTGCGTTTTTGTATAAAAACAATATGTAACCTATAGAGAAGGTAAACTATTTTACTCTTGTCCTCTCAGTCCAATGAAATGGTAATGTGTTATCAGATAATCTTTGCAATTGACTCTTAAATCAGTTAAAAGAGAATTCCCAAAGAAACTCCAAGTGGAGTGATGGCAAATTATTTCCTGTATTTGAAGCAATACAATTATTTCATTTAAATCTGGAACAAAATGGCATCAGTTTGAAGTTTGTTCTGAAACATTAAGTTTCTATAAATTCTTTTTAAATTCAACACTACACTCTGACTCCTTTGGATATGGAAAGGATATCTGATAGATCCACAGACTGAATTGGTTCATAACACTACCCTTACCTGGAGTATCTGCATTGTCACAGATGTGATTCTCTAACTTGAGAATTTCAGGCACAAGAAGAGGGGGCCTTCTTGGTATCTCTCAAAATTATGACATGGAAGCAGATGCTAATATTTAAGTCTGGTCATAATATTTTATTAGTATATATGTGACAATATTTTGGTTGGTTTAGGACCTTTATGTACTTTCAAATAAAATAGAAATATACTTTGATTATTTTAATATTTATATGTAACACAAAATCAAATTAAATTAACAATAATCTTTTCTTAATATTCAACAAAGATAAATTATTGGAACAAATTGCTTAATGATATTATCCTTCCAGAATATATCGTTTCAATATATGTGTACCATCTCTTATTTTATGTTTGATATGTATCTTTTTTCCATAAGCAACACACTTTTAATGAACTATCCCATTTTAAAAGTGAAACACGACTTACATTTTATCCTTTTGATAAGCAGAGATGTGAACTAAATATACTCTTTTGTAATCCTAGAATGAAAGGCTGCTGTATGTATGAAATTATGTAAGCATATTTACTTCATTTAAAGTGACATATTGGTTTTGTCCAGAAATTAAATTTTTTTCCCTATAGCTAAAAATTGTTGTACTAGATTGTATTTTTTGATAAGGCTGCAGCAATAAAAACCTTAGATATCATCTGCTAAAGCAGAGAGGAACAGAAAACTCTCATCTATTTTATGTTGAAGGTATATTTGACAAGATTTTGTTGATATGAAAGGAAAGAGGAAAACAAAAGAGAATAGGAATTCTATTTTGAATAACCATAAAGCAAACTCTATGATGTGGAGCTATTTGCTAAATGAAGAGGAAAATTACATAGTAAATACAAAGACTATTACTGTACAATATTATATAGCTTTGCTTTATTTATTAGAGGCATTTCTTAAGATTATCAGCAAAGTGAATTTATGTATAATATCTGGGAACACTAGGAAATTGACATTGGTCCAATCCACAGGACTTGTGTGTGTGTGTCTGTGTGTGTGTGCACATGACATTATCATATACATGTCAATTTATCACATATGTAGCGTCAGGTAACTATCACCATAATCAAGATATACAACTATCATCACAGTCCTCCCTCCATCTACCACTTCTTAGCCACACTGCCCTCCTACAAATCTCTAAGCCCTGACAACCACTAACCTGTTTTCCATATCTATAATTACATTATATCAAGAATATTATATGAGTGGAATCATACAGAATGCATCCTTTTGAAATAGGCTTTTCACTCTGCATAGTGCCATTGAGGTTTATTCAAGTTGTGTGTATCAATACTTTGTTCATTTTTATTGCTGAGTATTATTCCAACACATTCAAATCAATGTATTTTATTTTAAATATCACCATATGCTGCCTTTGTGTATATTATGCTGAATTGTCTTTCTACATATTCATATGTTGAAGTCACAACACCTAGGACCTCAGAATGAGATTGCATTTAGAAATGGGGTCTTTAAAGAGTAATTAAGGTAAAATGAGATCATATGAGTGGGTCCTAATTCAATATGACTAATGTCCTTATAAGAAGAGACGATTAGGAGATTAGAGATAAAGAGGACAGACCTGACCTTGTGAAAACAAGGGAAAAGATGGCTACCTACAAACCAAGGACACAGGCCTCAGAATGAAATCAACAATGCTGACAACTTGATTCTTCTAGCCTGCAAAGCTATGAGAAAATAAATTGTCTGTTGCTTAAGCCACACAGCCTGTCTTATTTGTTATGGCTACCTTAGCAGACAAATGCAGTGTATAAGAATAGTTTTATCTTTATAAATTTTTCTCATATATGTGTTCATTTACAATATTTTCTACCATAAGGCAATAACTTGTGTGCCCATATAATTTATGAACACTTCTCAAAAGGAGTTTATAAAAATCTCTGAAGCTTTTCCTGTTTCCTGGTATGCAATATAATGATGTTATGAAGGAATTAAAGAGAGCATATACTTGTAAAAATAATAGGAGTGTTTGCACCTGACTATATTATAGTAAACATCTATGATGTTATAAAGAGAACATTTAGCTGAATTCATCAGAGTTCTGAACAGTTTAACTACTTTTCACAAACCCCCATAGATGATGACATTTGAACACATTTCTAAATTTGTCTGCTACTTAGAGTGGATCACAATTAAATATACTGGCTGGAATGCTTTCATAATATAGACATGAATTATAATTTAAAAAATTCTTACTATTTGCTTTATTTGACATGAAAAAAGGATGGCAGCATAAGTGGGGCAATTGAAATTCAATTCACTTCATAACATTTTATTGATTTCTGACTTCTATTGGTAAGTAATATGGACTTACTCATTAAGATATATTGTTATATGATTATAAAAAATACATGAGTACATAAACATTGAGGGAAGTATTTCATCTTATTATTCATACTACTGAGAAGTAACATAAAAATATCTTTCTGAATTTTAGGAAAGAACAAGAACAACAACCAGTGCGTTACCTCTGCAGTGTATAATGTATATGACTTCATTGCACCTGCAGTAAATATAGGCCCACGAGGGATATTATGCATCAAAAGAAATTATGGGTCTGTTTTGAGAGAACAGCAGTGGGACTTACCATCTTGATCCGTGGTCACTGTAATAGCTGTGAATGGCTTGGGAGAAAAACTCAACTCAGAAACTCCATTCATTGCTTCTATTTCAAAGGTGTAATTCACGTGAGACACAAAGTCAAGTACTATCACGGAATTGTTGATCAGGCCTGTATGTCTTGGGATGAAGCGGAGTCCTCCACCACAGTCCTCACACTGGCTGGTGTCTAAGCCACATTTCTTACAGATTACACTGTATGTGAGATCTTTTCTCCCTCCTGTGTCACTTGGTGGGCTCCATTCCAAAATAAGGGCTGTTTCATTGATGTTAAAAACCACATTCCTAGGAGCTGAAGGTGGCCCTAGAGAAAAGCAATTAAAAAACAAATGTACATGTATAGGACAATGAATTATGGTGTTAAAATGAAAACTTCATCAATAAACACTTGTTTCTCTTTTATGTTAGTTTGAACTCTTTTTCTAATGGGATCTATAATGATCACATGGTTAAAATAGCTCATTGGTTCTAGTAAGGAAGGAGTCTTGAGGAGTGAAGATCTATATCCTAAATTTTGGGAGCATGAATTTCAATATTTAACATAAAAATCAGGATATCTGTAAAACATATGGTAATTAGCCTTTTTAAACTTGACTGAAAATACATAAAATTATTTTAAATTATGTGATAGCTTTAATTACATTTTATTAGTTATATTACCATTTTTTAAATTTGAAAAAAAATAGTAATATACAGATACAAAACACATTGTGGTAAGTTTTTCAGTCTTCATTCTATAATTGGTATGTAGATAAAATCCCCATTCATCGCTTCTGAAAATCACTAAAAATCCATTTTCCAAAGGTTGAGATTAAATGAACATAAAATTAGGGTGAACAGATGATTTGGAAAAAGGGAAAAAGAAATGAAAATTGAAGGCAACAAAAAACCTTTTATTAAGTCCTTGTCAATTTGATGGGATAAAAGCATTATATGAAAGGGCTAAAAAGGGGTCATGGACAAGAAATGATGGCAAGACTTTCATTTAGATTAAGTTTACTAAACACAAGTAAGTGTGTCCTTTAAACTAAGCATGGCCCTAAAAGAGACCCACAACATTCTCCTATTTGTCATAAAGACCTAGAAAACCAAGTCAGTCCTAAGGAGGGGATGAGCATCTTCTTATTATTTACCACAAAGATCACACTGCATAGAGTGCTTGATAGCCTTTAATTGTTCCAGTCTTTCCTTAAAATTGTGTGAATAATCCTATATACTTATCTGAGTCCTTCAAGCCTCAGTTTTATAATGTCTTCTAGGTGCCAAACACTGCGCTAAGTACTATATATGAAAAACCACAGAATCCATATGCTGTGAGAGGCTATACTTATGAGAGATATTTAGAAAAATAATATATTGTATAAATTTCTGGGGAAACAACATTCACGCCACATTTTAGAGGGCTTCATTTTTAAAAAATCTAAACCAATTCTCTAATTTTTGTTACCAAGAAAATCTACTTAGAGAGTGGAAAGGAATGTCTCCCTAACATTCCCTCTGAGAAAGAAATTCAAGTTTTGATATAGGCTCCTTTTGGATTTCAAGCTATGGCCATTCATTCATGAAATATTTTATTTAGTGTCTACTATGTGGCAGATACTGTACTAGATCTTGGGCTTACAGAGATAAGACATGTTAGACATTATTCCTTCTTTCTTGTTATTTACATTTTAGTGGAGTGACTAGATATATGTAAACAGATGACTAAAATTCAAATCATAATATGTGCAATTACAAAAATTAGAAGGACAGGTGTTGAAATAAAAGCAATCAAGGGAATCCCTGTTTTAGGTAACATTCTGAGAAAGCCTCATGGAGGTGGTGAGGAGAATATGCAGAGGGGTGAGAAAAATATTAGGAAAAGAAAGTATGCCATTCTTATTCAGAAAGATCTTGAAATAACCATGGAACTGGCAGAAAGTCACTGTGGCTAGACTGCAGAGGGAGAATGCATGAAGTAAGTTTTAAGGAACAGGAAGAGGCTAGATAGTGCAAGACTGCTAGGCTCATTGGAATAAGTCTGGATAGTTTTCTATGTACCATAGGAAGGGACCTCAGCTACCTATAGGTATATCACCTAGAAATGCAATGAATCATTTTTCTGAAAGGTTGCTGGGTGCCTTGCTTTATGCCATTTCATGTTCCATAGGGTTTACAGAAATGTCTACCTTCAGAAAGGCAAACATGAAGGGGATTATACACTAGAGAACAGGGATAAATGTAACTTTTTACCTCCAACCTAGACTTATGTCTAAGAGATAAAGATTCATTATTATAATAATGTTTTCTTACAGAATGACATATTCATGTTGTTGGTCTTTTACTTATAATGGAAAACATGAATTATTATTCACTTATATTTTCATTCTAGGAAGAATGTTATCAATTATGTTATGGGTGTCTACAAGTATAAAACTGTCCGCCTGGAGATACTTAAAAAAAAAAAAAAAGAAGGCTGACACCCTTCTTACTCAAGGGTCCTCATACCAATTTGCATGATGATTAAATAGCTTTTTAATTGCTGTTAAATTATGCCAGCTAAACTGTGATTTCATGCAAATATTAAGCTGTAATGATATGCAGTGAATCATTTACTAAGATTTAGAACTTGGAACAAAGAGAGACAATTAATTCTAATCCTCGGATTCAACTAAATTACGTGTCACTGGGCTTTTATGAATGTGGCCTGATTGCTTTGTTATCATTTATAAATTATACAAACATTATGTGACACATTTAAAAAATAACGTGGCAACAATAACACTTTTGGAGACATCTGTATTGAAAACTCTCAGGTATTTACTTATGTAGATTTTATTTCTTTAAAAGAAACAAGTAATTCACATAGAAAGAAAGCAATCTCCAGTCCTCACCCTGCAGACTAACTTCATAAGAAAAAGGCAATTATTATTCTCATTGGAAACTAGCTGTTTTTCAAGTCCATCATATAATAAACTACCTAAATTGTACAATTTTTCCACTAGTTTTTTTTTAACTAGGAAACACTTTTCTTTTGCTTCAATTTGAATTTCTACTTTATAATTTTAAAGAATAAAGGAACACTGTTCTACCAGTAAAACTCATGAGATGCTTATAGCAAGGCTGTCGCTCCCTTACCAGAAAAACATCTGTCCCGGTAGGTCCCAATTTTCCCCTTAGAGTAGCAGAGGCCAGGTGTGTTATGATTTTTGTTTTGTTTTATTTCATTTAAGTTGTTAATATAAATTGTTTTTAAACATAACTGTGTTTCTCAAAATATGTCCTATGCAATACTTCTAGTCCCACGAAATATCACACAAAAATCAGTTTGTTGCTCAAATAAGACTCTTGGTGGACTGATGCTGAAACAAAATTAACCCTATTTGCTTCACTTTGTTGAATCCAACATTTCCCAAAAATTTGTTCATAGAATCTTATTTTTCCAAGGAGCATCTAGAGGAATACTAGCATTCTGCAGAACACACTTAAATAAAGGCTGACACAGAAGAAGAACAAGCTGAAGGGTCAACCGGTAGAGATTTATGTTTCACATTTATAATCATAAAAATATGTTAAACCCATAAACAAACAGCGGGATTTTTCATATGGGCTGAAGAGTGACTGTTTACCAATTAAGTCAATACCTAGTTATAGTTTGCAGAGGTACTTTTTAAAATCTTAAGAATAATAAAAATTTCACCGAAATATCTGAAGATACCAAGTCATGAAAGACAATTGCCTATTAAGCTATATTTAATCAGTTCTTAAGTTACTACCTCTGTTAATTTAATGACTGCCAAGAATGTAGTAGTATGGTTTATTAACAGAAAACAAATGTATTCATATTTCTTAGTTTACAAATGAGAGAAAAATAGTTCTATGCTAATCTGGGTCAAGGACAAGATTAAAAGAACACATTGAACCATTTAAAGATGCTTAGGTAAATGCTTTTACGTATCAGTGAGGCTGCAGAATTAACTACAGAAAAATAAGTAAATAGGTAGAGATGAAAAAGCATATCCCCAGGCATTAATATTGCACTGAAAATATAAGTTGTCAGCTCTCTCTATATATATATACAAAATTTTAAACTCTAAAAGTCATTTCATCCTCTGTATCTTCACTATTCCTTTTATCTTTAATCTACATCCATATTGTTAATCTAATCTCCATCCTATATAATCTTTAAAAAATGTATTTAATAGGAGCATCTGTAAATAGAATTTCATATTCTCTTTCTCTAAATCACTTCTTTCTCTATCTATAGGTTTTGCTTATTAAATATTTTCTATTTGGAAATGAATGGCAATCACAAAATTGGAGCTCCAACCTCAGCACACGAAGGAACCATATCAGTATATTCAGAAGAAGAAATGAGGTTCAGAAAAGGACAATAATTACATTAAGGTTATGCAGTTCATTAGTGGTAGAATGACACCTAGTATTTATCTGTTTAGATTTTTTAAAACTCTATTATGTCATATTCAGCCTATAGATAGAAAATCTGACAAACAAATATGAAAACGTACAGTTGACCCTTGAACAACATGGATTTTGAACTGCATGGCTCTACTCATATTGTAGAATGTTTTTCAATAAAAGTTAAACCAAGTGTGCCTGCTTCTCCTGCCTCTCCTTTCACCTCCTCCACTTTTTCTGCCTCTGCCACCCCAGAGACAGAAAGAGCAAGCCCTTCTTCCTCCCCTCCTCCTCAGCTTACTCAACCTGAAGACAATGAGGGCGAAGACCTTCATCATGATCCACTTTCACTTAATAAATAGTAAATACACTTTATCTTCCTTTATTTTCTTAATAACATTTTCTTTTCTCTTGCTTACTTTATTGAAATAATACAATATATAATATATATAACATATAAAATGTATTAATCAACTGTTTATATTCTCATTACACTTTCTGGTCAACAGTAGACTATTAGTAGTTAAGTTCGGGGTGAGACAAAAGTTAGATGCAGGTTTGCAACGGCAAGTGGGGAGTGGGTTGGTGCCCCTAACCTCCATGTTGTTCAAGGGTCCACTGTATTTTTATACAATTTTTTGTTTTCAAAGTATTGTCAAATACACATTTTCAAAACATACAAATTAGTAACTGATTATTGCCTTCCTATAAAAGACTCCCTTAAATAATGCTCTTAGAGTGTGTAAATAATTTTATATACAGAAGAGTTACTGAAACTTAAGTTTTCAAAGTAAATATTACTCAAAATTCAGGAGTATGCACACTTCAAATCTTTTGCATTCCATATAGCAAAATGGATTGCTTCTGATTATCTTTGATATGATTGCACCTACTTTCAGTAATTAA